GTTGGGGGCCCGTGAACAATGACTCAAGTAATTCTCGGCTCACTCGATTGTCACCTCTTGTGAGAATTTCGGCCTCATCAAATTTGAATGTGTGGCGGGTCTCGCCAATTGAGAATTGGCATCATTTCGCCGCACTGCTGCCGCGTGTTCGGCAATTCATGTCTTGAGAAGTCTGCCGGTTTCTCCGACATAGTTGCCTCGCTCGCAACTGCACCAGATCCTGTAGACGACCCCAGGTGCTTCTTGCCGTGACAGCGCGTCTTTCGGTTTCATGATCTAACGCCTTATGGTTGCCTCCGGCCCTTGTGCGACTCCAACTCCAAGTGGTGCGAGAAGGCGGCCGACAGCCTCCAAGACGTTTTTAACGTATGGGATCGCTCTCCAAATTTTTGGGTCTGTGCGACTTGGCGATTTTGCACGGGTAGCCATTTTTTCTAAACACCCGTCGAAGGTATTGTACCTCGGCAATTTTATCTTCTGGTTCACTGCAGTGCGTCTCAACACGCCGATAGAGCGTCCTTACGCGACTGCGTTTGTGGTTGATCGGGTGGTTGCTGTTGTAATTCAGTACTTGCATCGTGTTTGTCGCTTTCCTGAGTACTTTAGTCTTTAGGCCGCCACAATATTTGCGACAGACGAGGACATCAAGGAAGGCCAACTGGTTGTTCTATTCCTCCTTCATGGTGACTTGGACGTCCGGGAATACGTTGTTGAGATGTTCCTTAAACGTGAGCACTTGATCCCGTTCGATGACAAAGAAGGTGTCATCCACATACCGTGCTCAGAATATCGGCCCGTGGTGTTGGAAGACTAGCGACTCTAGCCGTTGTAGGACCGCCTCGGCTATGAATCCCGAAATCGGTGAACCTATTGGTGTCCCCTTCACCTATTCATAGATTGTTCCGCCAAATGTGACGTAAGTCCTGAGAAAGAACTTCAGGAGCTGTAGGGTTTGGAATTTGTAGGATTTGATGATGAATCCGCGACGGAGTTCGAAACGTCAGGTGATTAAAAATATTGTCCCAGCGATCGAGTCGTCTTCTACTTCTCAATTACTTCCTGGG